GGATAAATGTGATATATGAGGACGACCTTCTCTCTGTGATTTGTAAGCTAGTTCAAAGAATGTTTGCAAAATACTTTAACAGGTTTCTAAAAATCCGTCCTGATATTTCCACTATAATAAATCCTGCATTGTATTCAAAAGTACACTGTCCCAATGCAACAAACATTTCCTACTTCAATCCCCCTCTAAAATAAGTACTGGTGATATCAGGCATTACACCAACAAAATCAACAACAAGACTGACTTACTGTGAAAATATTCTCTCCACTATAAATTAGATGATTTCAAAAATAACACTGACTTACTTGCATAATTCGTCCTTGTCATTATCGTCTGGCTCTACAGCAGGTGAACACTTCCAAACACTTTGACAACCTTGTGCATATATCACTGCGTAAAAAAGCACATTATTTTTTGTTTATTTCATACTTTTTTATATGTGCTAAGCGAATGAATACCCCTTTGATCAAGAATTTCAACCAATTTAGAAATAGGGTATCATTGTTTGAGTTTCATTGGAATGTTAAAAAGGTTGGTCACGTGAAAAAAATTCCCATGAAGCCCGAAGGGCTGTATTTAATATACTATGTTTTCTTTTGAAAGTTGTTTCATTGAGAATTTCTTTTTTTCTACTTTTTTTACATTTTCATAAAAATAAAATCAAATGCGTAAACATATTTTCTTTTATTGTCAGGCTGTGAGTTGGAAATGAAATCATTAATAATACTTGCCACATGCTAAACTCCAGTCTTTTCTGGCGGTCTCTGCTTCAGAATAACATCCATTGGCTTCCAGACAAGTTACATAATCGATGGAAATTCTAAAATATCAATACAGCTCATAAAGGACTGGGTCAACACAATGAACTTTTGAATATTTTTAACAAACTTCACAGTCTTAATTTCAAAATTCAGACGTGTCTTGTGTCATATTTAGAGTATAATGGTGTACCGAATGTATGAAAAACAAAGGGAACAAGAATACATACAATTTCTATATTTTGCACGCAAAAACATATGGAAACCTTTATATCAATAATTGTAATAAAAAGAATTCATTACTTCCAATTTCTACTGTTCGTTTTGTCATATTTCAACGTAAATGGATAGGTCTTATGAAATTACAAGATACGAAAACTATCTCCTTCGTCTTAAACAGCATTTTAACCTAAGGATATTTCAACTTCATCATATTTTATTGATCACGCAATACAATAATTTCATTGCTAGGGTAATAATATACAGTAAATTAAGTAAACTATTTTTATTTCAAAAGAAGACTATTAAAATGCCTAAAGCACCATATATTACCACGGGTTGAGTTCTAAATATAAGACTGTCAATTTAATGTAGATATAAGCTTACAAAAGTAACGATTGTCACTAAGAAGAATAATAGAAAAAATTGGCTTATCGAAACGTGTCTTAAATAAGAGATGTTTGTAAAACATTTATGCCCCCTCTCCCCAAATAGGAATTTTTCCAAATTCCAAAAGTATAACTGTATATTTAATTTCATTTTAGTATGTGCAACCTCTGCAAGGAAAATGAACGGAGACTGCAAATATTTGGAATTTTCCCAAGTCAAAGGGACATAACTCTGTCAGAAATAGTGCGATCGTACCCTAAAAACATAATTTGACCTAGATATTCATCGTATTAACCTGTATACTAAATTTCATTTCAGTATGTGCAACCTCTGCGAAGAAAAAGAACGAAAACTGCAAATAATAGGAGTTCCATAAAACCGATTAACATCTTTCAAATTTAAAATTTGATATGAAATTGTTCCTTTTATAGTAGATACATGTAGTTGGAATATTTTGCCTTATAATTGAAATAAATCCTTTTAAAAATATTCCATTAGAAGTCCCCTTTACAAAAAAATGTTTGACAATTCCACATTAAGCCTAAATTGTCATCAGAAGGGTCAACAGGTCGACAGTTGACAACTCTAACTAATCAACAGAGTCACAACAAAGGTCGACAGTTTACACCTCTTATTAATTTTCAAACCCATCTGTGATATTAGGGTTGGTTTTCAAATCCACTTGAAAGATATGGGTTAGTATTCAAACCAGGCGGCGAGATTATGTTTAGTAATCGAACCCCCTGCGAGATAACGGTTAGTTTCGAACCCACTTGAGAGATTAACGTGAGTACTCAAATCCTCCTGAGAAATTTGGGTTAGTTCTCGAATCCACCTGAGAGGGAAGGGTTAGTTTTTGAACCAACCTGAGAGATTAATGTTAGTTCTTGGGTCCACTTGAGATATTAGGGTTATTATCGAACAGGGCTATTTCTCTATCCCACATTGGGGGCAACCCGTCGACCTGTCAACCCACTACCTGTCTACCCGTCGGCCTGTCGATCCGTCTACCCGTCGACCAGTCTACCCCCCGACCCGTCAACCCGTAAAACAGTCGACCTGTCAACCCACGGTCTGTCGATCCGTCGACCTCCTTACCCGCCAATCTGTCTAAATGTCAACCTGTCAAACTGTCGATCTGTCTACCCGTCGACCTGTCAATCAATCTACTAGTCAACTTGTCGACCTGTCTTCCAGTCCACCTCTCAACCTGTCCACTTGCCAACCAGTCGACCCGTCAACCTGTCTATCTGTCAACTTGTCAACTCGTCTTCTGCTGGAAAAATTCTTTATTTTCCTTCTCATTATCCAACAACGCGCATAAATTTGAATTTGGAGCATGAATCCGATTATAAAGCAAGGAGCATTAATTCAAATTTGATGTGTTAAAATATTTTTAAAGGGTCTACTTATCAATGTATCCTTGTTGAGCCAATTTTTGTAAGTCCAAGGGGCATAATCCTGTCAGAAATGGCGCGATCGTATCCAAAAGAAATCTTGACTTATAAATTCATCTGATATATCTGAATACTAAATTTCATTTAAGAATGTGCAACGGTTGTGAAGAAAAAATGAAGGGAAATAAGTGGACCGACAGACAGCAGAAAAACAGTATGTACTCCTTTCGTAGAAGGGGGGGGGGCATAAAAATGTGATATATGAGGACTACTTTCTCTCAATGATTGGTAGGCTAGTTCAATGTATGTTTCGCAATATATTTTAACAGGTTTATAAAAATCTGTTCTGATAATTCCACTATGATAAATCCTGCATTGTACTCAAATGTACATTATCCCAATGCAACAAACATTTCCTACCTCAACCCTCCGCGTAAATTAGTACTGATGATATCAGGCATTAAAACAACAAAATCAACAACGAGACTGTTTAAATGTGATAATATCCTCTCTACTATGAAGAAGATGTCTTAAAAAATAACACTGACATACTTGCATGATTCATCCCTGTCTCGTCTTGTCAATGTACAGTTCCGTGAACCTGGACAAAAACCTTGTGCATCTATCACTGAATAATAAAGCACGTTGTTTTTTTTTATTTTATGCCTTTAAATTATATGCTTTGCAAATGAATACTCTTTTGATCCAGAATTTTAACCAATACCTGTTAAACACTTGAATTAAAACAATCAAGAACAATTTGGTATTTCTGATTAAGAACGTGTGCCCTCTTTTTATAATAAGAATTATTTGTTTAAAACTCGCGTTGCACTTTTGATAGGACGATTAATGAATAAAAGAATGACATAAATTTCATTGAAAAATTTGTCCTTCCTCTCATTATCTAATTTTGTTAGACAGTAGATAATAAACTTTTATATGATGCTTATAACCACCTAGAATTTTATGTTTACAATTCTAAGACTTAGGTCAACATTTTAGTCTCAGTATCGTTTTTTTTTCACCTGAGATTACAAAAGTCAATCTTTGAGAAAAAAAGGTATTATATAAGTTAGACACATTTGATTTGATTATCAATATTACTTTAAGTATCATCTGACATTTTGTTTGAGATCTAATTTCAAATTGAGGTTTTGATGCTGAGAATGGTTACGAATTGAAAGATAATAATAAAAAAAATCATTTGTTGTACCTTTGATTGCTGTTCTATTTTTTTTTAACATTTCACATTACGGATAAGGTCCGAAGATGGTTTTTCACAACGACAAACAACAAATTACAAGTTACAATGATTGTTTTACCTTGAATGACAACACTGACAGTCACCAAGGCGGCAAGGAGGAAAGTAATGCTGGTCACAGACATTGTTGGATACTGCTCAACGAAATTCTGGTAGTTTTTGATTGGCTGAAAAGAGCATACCCCATAATTGAAACATTGAATTTCTTTTATCATACATGTATTTATCATAATGTTTACTAATTGTTACTTATGAAAGTTTGCGTTTTTTTAAAAAGTTTTTCATTGAAAATTGCAAAAACCACCTCGAATTGCCAAAAATTTGGGTACTACATTTAAAATTAATCTGTTTTACACCCCGGTCAATAATAAAACAGGAGTTAAAGGGATTGTACAATGCTTATGGTTCCCCTCGTAAGGAACATTGTGTTAGAGGTTTTCAAGAAGCTTGGTAGACTAAACCAATCATAATTACTTGTTAGTGCAAGTATTACTTGGAAATTGTTTGTTTACATGTCGATCTCGTCTTCTATTAAGGACACATGATACCTTACAATTCTTTTGAAGAAACTAAATTTAATCTCATAGACTAAGAAAAATGATAATTCTAAGAATTTTTCAATTAGTCTAAGAAAATGAAAATTAATTTGGAAAAATATCGAACATTTCAATAGAATAACAAGAATGGACAAATCATGCTCAGTTATGTTTTACAGATTGAATCAAATATTACAATGTTACCTTAGTGTTACTGCACATCGTACATCATACAAATGGTCATAGCATTTTCTCTTCAAGCATTTTTATCAAAAGAGCTAAAATTACATTTAAACTGTCTGCCCCTCGTACTTTGAGTTCGAAGAATTTTGAAGGCCTGTGCAATTTGTACAATGTGTACATTGCGTAGATATGATGGTTTCTATATTAAATTTCCATATAGCTGACCTGGGTTTTAAATCTGTGACAGATTTTTAAAATCAGTTTGAAAAAATATTTTGATTTTTAACAATATGAATAAAGATCTAAAATAAAAGAAAAAAGTCCGCGGACTTTTTCAAATATATTTGATTGGGTATTTTTACTTCAAACATCTATAAAAATTAAATTTACATGCATAAAATGATGTCTTTTACGATGGAATATTTCTCCTTGCTGGCAACAATTTTTAGGCTTTCTTAAATATTCCATATAGGACTCATGTTCCCAACTAAAAGTTTTGATTTTAAAAAACGTGTTTAGTTGATTATCATACTGAACTCTAAACAAAGATTAAAGATATTTACTTACCAAAACTTTTAAGTGTTCACTCTTATAAATGTATTTATTTAAAAGCCAAATTGATATCTTCAAATTATTATAACCAATGAGTCTTCCCAACTGTTGTTGAAAGAAAATAATTATCACCAATGAAAATCATCCCCCCTTGACGAGCTTAAAAACACACAAAAAAATGTACTTGCGGCACGTGTTTTTGCCTGTAACGTCTCTATCATAATATCTTCTCTGTATCTTATATTTTCTTCAGGAAATAAAGATACCCAGTGATAAAAACTACTTTAAAAAAATCTGTATGAATTTGAAGATTGTCAAGATGTTTGTAATTTTAAATACATGACAACATAAATAGCTGTTATCCTGACTATTTATCAGCCAACCTTTTTGTTTGTATAGATAAAAAAGACTAACTATTATAATGAAACATTAAAAAATTCACAAACCTTATTTCTGAAACTGCCTCTCAATATTCAGAAAAAAGATGTCTGTTCTTATATATTGATTCTTATATGAAAGAAGAGTTGGGGAGTCTATTCATGTTCTCATGAATTATTTTGGTCGCCATTTAGAATTGTTTTGATTGTCAATCATGCTACATTTGAATAGTCTACTTTCTAGGTTTCCCCTTGAAAAAGTTTGAGAAACCTATGCAATTGACCCCCTGCTCCGACATGATATACAAATCATGAATGCATTGTGTGAATACTCTTTTATTTCCTGTCTTGTTTTGAGGTTCTTTTGAAAGAATTCAAAAAAGATAAATTAGGAGAAAACACTTGTTGTGGCCTTCTACTCGATATTTAAATGCATCATTAAAATTTCATCAATCGTCGATTTCAATCTGTCGATTTGAATTTCCTTAATGAATTTGAAGTACAAGGCAGTAAAAGTCTGCCATATTTGTTTCATAGTTAGATGTTTTACTAAATATATACGACAAGATTCAACTAACAATTCATTGTTTGGAAAAGGGGTTATTCATTCCCATAGCCATTTTTCATTTCTTGATGTAGTTATATCCTGCTTTTACCTGACAGATAAAATGATGAGGACCAGGTAGCTCAACAACCATGTCATATTGAGGAATGTTGTCCATTTTAATTACCGAATAATGACCATTACTAATATTCATTATTGTAATATTTTTTATATCCACATAGGTCTATTAAGACTTTTATGAACAAGATTTAAAAAATATTTTGAACCTTAATATACGAGGGCTGTTCGGAAATTATTGAGACAATTACATTTACTCCATAAAGGACAGAGATAATTTCAGGAAAAATCATCAACATCTTATAAAGAACAAATAAAACACTAATGCAAAATTTCTTATTCCTATGATAATAAGAAAAGCTTTGGTGAAATAATAAACATGCAAATGTTTATCGACCCGGAGCAGCCTCGCTACGTCATTTAACGTTACGTTACCCGTAGATTGAAACGATCGGGAAACGTTTAATACTCTTCCTTCTTTTTTATTACATATATAACATTACATAAATCAAACATTCTCTTTTCTTAAACAATTCTTTAAAAATGTATGCTGTTCCTACCCCAGTCAAAAATTTTAATTTTTTGGAAAAGGATGACTTAGAATCATGCAGTGCCAATTTATGCAACGCGGGTTAAATACCGTTAGGATATCAATACTGTATGTAATGACTCGTGGTCGTCCAGATCTTTTAATTTTACTCTAGTTAAATTATTTGTTTAAAAATGTATACCAATGAAAAAACAAACCTTAACACATCATTTTTGTTCCACGTTGTTATTGTTTAAGCAGGTTGTCAGTCTTGAAAAGAGTTCTACATTGCGCTACACAAAATTTTAGGTATGCTGGCTGCTCCGCCATTGACGTCAAAATAGATTTTTTCGTTGTTAGCAGATTTCTCTAACGCGCTTAATTTATTTATGATCTCCGTATTTTAGATCAAAATTCTATCAAAATTGCACAACATGAACTTGAACTAAAGCTGAAAAATTATACACTTAAACTGAATTATTTTCGCTCTCATTATGGATCCACCATGAGTTAGAATTTCGGAGTTACATATTTTCAATATCTGATTCCGCGTCTGCTCCAGGTACCCCTACTATTGACACATTTATATACCATTGTAGAGAAAATATTTAATATTTGTGAAATATTTCTTGCTCTTATTAATTTTTAGTGCATGTCAAACGTATATGCCAATTTTCACTGAAAGACGTTCATTAGAAAGCAAAATATACACATTGTCTCAATAATTTTCGAACAACCCTCGTATATCAATCATTCATTGTTAGAAATGATGTGAATTACTTTACCCGGCTCAAAATACCGTGAATCATCGATATAACCTGGTGGGGCAATGTTCAAGGATTTTGTTGGTATACTTTAACCACGGAGTTACATTCCAACGTAAAGTTATTATACTCCCGCTCCAAAGGAGAGGGGGGTATACTGTTTTACCCTTGTGTGTCTGTCCGTCTGTCTGTCCGTCTGTCTGTCTGTGTGTCCGTCCGAAACAAATTTTCGTCGCAGTTTTCTCAGCAACTACTCATCGTAGATGCTTGAAATTTCAACACAATCTTCTCTGACGCATGCCATATGGTGGGATACATTTTCGTTCAAATCCGATGTCAACTTCCTGTTTGTCTATGCATCTGTCCATTTCATACATAACAAATTTTCGTCGCAGTTTTCTCAGCAACTAATCATCATAGATGCTTGAAATTTTAACACAATCTTCTCTGCGGCATTCCATACGTTGGGATACATTTTCGTTCAAATCCCATGTCAACTTCCTGTTTGTCTGTGTGTCTGTCCATTTTATACATAGCAAATTTTTGTCGCAGTTTTCTCAGCAACTACTCATCATAGATGCTTGAAATTTTAACACAATCTTCTCTGAGGAATGCCATATGGTGGGATACATTTTCGTTCAAATCCGATGTCAACTTCCTGTTTGTCTGTGCGTCTGTCCATTTCATACATAACAAATTTTTGTCGCAGTTTTCTCAGCAACTACTCATTATAGATGCTTGAAATTTTTACACAATCTTCTCTGAGGCATGCCATATGGTGGGATATATTTTCGCTCATCTCGGATATCAATATCCTATTTGCCTGTGCATCTGTCTGTTTCATACATTACAAATCTTTGTTGCAGTTTTCTCATTAGCTATTTATAGCGGATGCGTGAAATTTTATTACACTCTTTGTTGAGGTATGCCATATGGTGGTATTTATTTTGATATGAATCTGATGTCATCTTCATATTTTTCTGTGTATTTGCCTGTAATTGAACTTGTGTATTTTAACATGATAGTGCTTATTTACATCAGAGCGGGGGTATTACTAGTGAGCATTGGCTCACAGATTTCTTGTTTTTTCAACATATTTTATCAATTGAATAGTTATGTACGAAATACCCACAAAAGCACGTGCCCACGAATCAAGTCAATTAGCTCATCCACGAACATTGACCCCCAGGAATTAAAATGATTCCACAGTACGGTGCTTTCTCAACTTGTGGGTCCACTCACTTTGTCAAAATTGCTATGAGATAACTGTCTCGTGTTCAATATTATAATTGTTCTTTTATTGAAAGAACAACGTATACAATTTCATGTCAAAGAAGGCAGTAATAAGTCAACAATGGGAAATATCTCAAATATTACTCGACAAAAGTGTTCTGGAGCTTTGCATAAGATTTTCATATACTCCAAAGAAAAATACATTTATCATTTTATAAATAAGCAAAAGACTGGATACAGTAATTTCATTTCCCCAACTTAATAAAAAAACAATGTGAGAAAGACATATCGATTTGATGATAATTTGAATACCCCCTCAATTATATTATATAACATTAAATATGATGAGCATAAGTATTATATTAAAGCAAGAATAAGTGAATATTTGTTCATTTTTTAGCTGACGTGTTTCATTACAATTGTTTTGTTTTGTGTTTATATTGAATTTGACTACAAATTATCCCATCTACCCCGTCAATACATGGGGCACAAGGCGGGTGTGGATTTAAGGTGGATTTACAGGGGGTCATTATTCACAGGTTGTCTTTAAATTTTTGAAATAGACCACTTTTCCTAATTTTCACTTTTGTCATAAATGTGTCTATCATATAATCTGGTTTTATTCTATATACTAGAAATGTACGTGAATAAAATACTAAAACTAAATTAGATTGGAGAAATTGGACCATTGAAGTTTTTGTTTTCTTCCTTAAAACTCACTTCCCAAATCTCCTTCTGATCAGGATATCAAAGCCATCTACATGTAAACTGTAAAAAAAAAACACACAAGTAGATAGTTGTAAAGATAAAGTCTCCCTAGCCTCTGAAAAGTTTGTATTGGGTCAAGTAATGAAAATATAAAATATTAACTTCCTGCTTTTTTTCTCTCAAGTTTCCTTGATTGTATCATGGCCTTCTATCTTAATTCTCCATCTTTTATCATTTGATTTACTTACTTAGAAGAAGAAGATACATCAATGACCCCTAATTTTCCTCCCCTATTTTTTGAACTGCAAAACTAATTTTAAAAATTTTGTGCTACTAAGGAGAACAATAAAGATATGAAGCTTCCCTAAGTAATTTAAGTACCTTTTCTTTATCGTCTGTCGTAATCTCTGCTACAATTTTCGGAATCCTATATTTTCTCATTTTTAAAACTTATTTATAAGGGCTTGTACTCTTTCTACTTTTGAAAGTTAACAAAGAAAATACAAGGATGGAGATTTTCATCAAATGAACATGTGACAATAATAACAAAACTTAAAATAATTTTTATTGAAATTCAAAAAGACGCTACTTACTATTAATTTAAAACAATATTTTAAATCATTAATGATAAAGATAGATACAGATTACATCGACTGTATTTAATGAAATATACAGGAAATATTGAGGGCCCGCAAAGATTTCTGGTTATTTAAGTACTAGTATACATTTTGTATATTAACTGTTTTCATAGGATTTAATATTTTACTGCCCTTTGTGAATACAAGGGTACTATTTTACAGGTTTTTGGAATATGTATTAAAAAAAATCGACCCTGATAAAAAATGTGAAAAAAGTGAGGTGGTTTAAGGGTAGAAAATTAAGTATATATAATTATATATATAATTCAGTTATTGTCCATATTAGACATATATCGTAATTTTATTGTGATTCGTTTCAAAATGT